GTTTGCTCGTGGGTTTTATGGAGGGAGTTGACAACGGAATATACCGTCAGTGATGCACACAAGGACATACGGACACACACATGGACACACCTGCCTACGGACAGATCCTGACACAGCAAAAATCGGAAGCCCCGCCTTGTGGGCGGGATCCAGGGGGATTTTTCAGCATAAAGGAACGGATCCTGAACATTGGAAACCAGTGCGACGGGAGGGTCCACTCAGAAGCTCGACCGGGAGGGTCGACTCAGCAGGAGTGCGACGGGAGGGTCCACTCAGAAGCTCGACCGGGAGGGTCGACTCAGGAACGAGTGCGACCAGAGCGGGTCCACTCAGGAGTGCGACCAGAGAGTCGACTCAGGAGCGAGGGCGACCAGCGGGTCGACCCAGGAGCGAGCTCGACCGGGAGGGTCGACTCAGGAGCGAGCTGCGACCAGCGGGTCGGCTCGACTCATCTTCAGCTCGTCAATCTCTGCTGCCGCCGGAGATCTCCGCTGCCGCCGGTGGTGAGCGTCGCGACTTGGCGACGATCCAACGCTGCACGCTACGAGCGAGTTGTGGGCGCCACCTACCGACCGGGTTCCGAACTGCGACAGCGTATCAACAGCCATCCGAGCCAATTCACCACGGTGACAGGAGAGCGCCTGATACGTATGACGCGCACCGCCCCCTCACCACACGACCACCAGGCGTCTGTTTGACATAAAGAATCGACTCCGAACACTGACTATTCAAGACAACTCTTACCACTCAAACACACTCGAACCCATAAGTCATCCGTGGCTGGGAAGGCATCACAACGAGACCGAGTGGTGGCCATCCGTCGTATAAGAGTATTCTTAATTTTTATCTTTAATATTTAGTGGGCTGTACTCTTAATCGCATAAATTCCCAACAGATCCATCAATACGAACTGATTCTTGGCACCTCCTTCCGCCGAGCCACGCTCACGTGGGGAGTGGTGGCCACCGGATCCTTATCAGGTGATCTGGTCCCCAATTAGTAAACTTGGTATAAGATAACGATCTTCGGAAAAGGAGCACCGTCGCAGGCCCTTACTCCGAGCCGTTCTGAGATAACCTGCCGATGTATCTGTTGAGATTGGTGCCTTTAAGAATAGTAACTGTTTTGATTGTGTTTTTTTTCCTTTCCGCCGTATAATCTTTCAAGTATCCTTCAGTCATAATCGCCGCACGTACTCGCATCCTCTACAGAATATTCAACTGTCCCGTGACCCAAGGTGTTAACAACGTGATAAGGGTTGCGTATGATCAATAAGGAGTGCGGTACTGCGTGAACAATATTGAGTATAATCATTCATTAACGTTAAGGTTTTCTTAGCATAGTATTTGCATGTTTTAACGACTCTCTCTCTCACTAACAACCATCGCGTTATGCGGGATCCATGTGCAGTTGTCAAAGTGAAATCAGACAATCGTTGATGATACTGTATTGATGCCGTATTGACGTTCCGGGATTGAGAGTTCGCATACTATATCATAGTTAAGGTTGAATTAGTAATAAATTGATCAATACAGAAGTGGTTGTGTGATTCTTTCCTGAAATCTATGCATAAGATCTGCTTCTGCGTTGAGATTTGAACTTGGTGACCTTAATAAACACACTAATACATACTCAGTAAATGTTAACGCGATAACGGGGTGAACCGGGGTCTGGTTATCATAACGACTTGCGTTATCATAATTACACCCACTCGCATAATTAATACGATTACCTATCGAATTGGCATAATTAAAATGTGCGTAATTACATAAATTAACATATTTCCGGATAATTACACATTTGGCCAAATTTCATTTAAATATTATTATTTCCACTGAATATTCATAACCCACATATACAACATAATAATTTCACCCACGCACGCATACAACATAACAAATTTTCATAACCAACATATACAACAGGTGAGTTGTAAGGGTGAGTGGTTGTTGTGAGGGTGAGTGGTTATTGTGAGGGTGAGTGGTGAGGGTGAGTGGTAAGAGTAAGTGGTGAGGGTGAGTGACGGTTGTGAGAGGTGATTAGTGAGTGGTGAGGGTGAGTGGTGAGGGTTAGTGGTGAGCATGAGTGGTGAGGGTGAGTGTTGAGCGTGAGTGGTGAGGGTGAGTGGTGATTGTTGAGGGTGTGATTGGTGAGAATGAGTGGTGAGTAGTGAGGGTGAGTGGTGAGGGTGAGTGGTGAGGGTGAGTGGCAGTTGTGAGTGGTGATTAGTGAGGGGTGAGCGGTGAGGGTGAGTGTTGAGGGTGAGTGGTGAGTGGTTAGGGTGAGTAGTGAGGGTGAGTGGTGAGCGTGAGTGGTGAGCGTGACTGGTGAGGGAGAGTGGTGAGGGAGAGTGGTGAGGGAGAGTGCTGAGGGAGAGTAGTGAGTGGTGAGGGTGAGTGGTAAGTGATGAGGGTGAGTGGTGATTGGTGAGGGTGAGTGGTGAGGGAGAGTGGTGAGGGAGAGTGGTGAGGGAGAGTGGTGAGTAGTGAGTGGTGAGGGTGAGTGGTAAGTGGTGAGAGTGAGTGGTGATTGGTGAGGGTGAGTGGTGAGGGTGAGTGGGGAGGGTGAGTGGCGGTTGTTAGTGGTGATTAGTGAGGGGTGAGTGGTGAGGGTGAGCGTGAGTGGTGAGGTTGAGTGGTGAGCAGTGAGGGTGAGTGGTGATTGGTGAGGGTGTGATTGGTGAGGATGAGTGGTGAGGGTGAGTGGCGGTTGTGAGTGGTGATGGGTGAGTGGTGAGCGGTGAGGGGTGAGTGGTGAGGGTGAGTGGTGAGGGTGAGTGGTGAGAGAGTGGTTAGTTTTGAGGTTGAGTGGTGAGGTTGAGTGGTGAGGGTTAGTGGAGAGTGGTGAGTGGTGATTGGTCAGTGGTGATTGGTGAGGATGAATGGTGAGTAGTGAGGGTGAAGTTGAGTGGTGAGGGTGAGTGGTGGTTGTGACGGTGAGTGGTGAGGGTGAGTGGTGAGGGTGAGTGGTGAGGCTGAATGGTGAGGGTGAATGGTGAGAGTGAGTGGTGAGGGAGAGTGGTGAGTGAGAGTGGTGAGGGTTAGTGGTGAGGGTTAGTGGTGAGAGTGAGTGGTGAGGGTGAGTGGTGAGGGTGAGTGGTGAGGGAGATTGGTGAGGGAGGTTGGTGAGTGGTGAGTTGTGAGGGTGAATGGTGAATAGTGAGTGGTGAGTGGTGAGGATGAGTGGTAAGGGCGAGTTGTGAGTGGTGAATGGTGAGGGTGAATGATGAGTACAGTCAATATGCACTGCTGTTATCATACCAGGTACCACCACCACAATATGTACTCCTCTCATCATAGCAGATACCACCACAGCAGTATGCACTGCTGTAATCATAGCAGGTTCCACCACAATATGCACTGCTGTCATCATAACAGGTACCAACACAGCAGTATGCACTGCTGTAGTGATAGCAGGTACGACCTCAGTCGGTATACACTGCTGTAGTGATAGTAGATACTGCTATCGAGTTGGTAGATACCGCTATAGTAAATACTAAAACAGTCAGTATATACCGCTACAGTCAGTCAATACTGCTACAGTCAGTATATACTACTATACAGTCAGTACATACTACCACGGTGAGTAGCTTCTAGAGTCAGTAGATACTATTATAGAGTGAGTAGATACTGCTATAGATTTTGTAGTTACTACTATAGTCAGTGGATACAACTATAGAGTCAGCGGATACTATACAGTTAGTCGTTACGAGTATATAGTCGGTAGATACTACTGTAGGCCCAGTAAATACTATGGTCAGTAGTTATTACAGTCACTAAATACTACTACACAGTAGCTACTACTGGCTCAGTAGATACTACGGTACAGTCAGTAGATACTACTACAGAGTCAATAGATACCACTTCCTCTGTTGTATGTAAGGTGTTGTTAGTATATATACCTACGAGGGGTAAAGATATTTTTTGAGGGGGGGGGGGGGGGGGGGGAGACCACAATTTTCGGAAACATTTTGACATCAACTATTTACCCCACACTTTCTACAACTTTTTGGACTTGTGAAAGCCTCTTATATATTTGTTGGTGGAGAAATGTACAAACAGCCCACCGGGCTTTGACAATACCTTAGTATCTGTGTATATATATGTAAGGTTTTTAAGAAATATATTTTTCACCCGGGCAATGCCGGGTACTTCCGCTAGTTCCTTATAAAAGGTGTCAGTTTGGTGTTTTAACATCTTAACACCTGTTTTGTTGCCAGAAAAAAGGGGAAAACCGATTCTCATAATAATACTTCGGTGATGATTATGGGAAAAGTCAATCTTCATTAGTGTCTGAACTCATGACCTAATTATTGTGAGTGGAGAATTATGATTAATGTGATGGCTTCAGTCACTATTAATTGGCATGTAAAAAACACTAATTTACAAAATTATCTGAGCTAACATCTGTATTGATGGCTGCCAAATTAGTTCAGTTTATTTTGAAGTGCCCTGTGAGCTAAGAAGCTCTTGAATTGGGTTTCATAAATAAAAACATCGGTTCCCTGGCAAACATAACGTGCATAACAGGTGACAAGAAAAATAGAAATACAAAAAAAATACGGGATGGTGTTTCATAGGACAACTACTGGCAAAACACATGCTATAAAAACACACGATTGGTTGTCCCGTGTAATATTGAATCCACCATGTATATTGTACAGACATCTTGTCAATCCACTGCAGGATAACGGCATCTCTACGCCGTACTGGTCGTGGGTGGTTATTAGACCATACTTCCCCATGCTGGTAATTGCGGATTGGTGAAGGCAGGGTTGGTGAACATGTGACGTGTTGATCCGCTGGCTTAAAGGACAGCCAGTCAAGCAGTGATGCCAACGGGCAATGCACACATCGATATTGGGACAATTCCATCCAAATGATTACGTCACCATTGGTAAATGCGTGGAAACCCTGAACGTGACGTCATTGGCGTGTATAATTATGTCAGTGTGGAGTGCGAGACATTCCCGAGGTAGCTCCGCCTCCACCTCTGCGCTCACGGCTCAACGTGATTATTCCTTGGGAGCAAGAGGCGCGCACGCCGAGCACCGGGGCACGGTCACGAGGCGCACTCGCTGGTGCAGCGCTTCGTAGTATCAACGGGGAAATATAGGAATAGCAGTGGCTCGTGCTGCAAAGAGTCAGTCTGTCGAGACGCTGTTGGCTCGTTTTGTTGGCCAATGCTTTGTTACATTGAAAAGTTGTAAGCAAGGTAAGCAGATTTGTTGTGATGGTGCGTGTAAGTGCATTTTATGGAGTTATATGTCATTATATGTTCGTGTGTTGGGATGTGTCTGCGTATTGTGTGGATTCTATTTGTGTGTGGGTTTATATGTATATATGCGTGTAGCTTTGTGTTTATGTTCGGGTTTGTGTGAGGGTGTGGTGTGGTACGTGAGTTTGTGTTGACGTGTGTGTTTGCATATTTACGTGTTTGTAATCATATTTGTTCATGTGTTGTTTTTGCGTTTGTGTATATTTGTATGTACGCGTGGCTTTATGTGTCTGTGATGTGTTTTGTGTGGATCTGCATGGACTACGTGTGGGTTTATGTCTGTGGATTTGTATGTATGTGGTATGCATTCGTATGTGTCCGTATGTGTGTGGGATGGTATTTCTGCATGTGTAGTTTCTACCACCCAACCCCCTTGTGTGCCGTTCCGGCCTTTGTCGGTGCTCGCTAACAGCACTTACCCTAACAGTCTGTTAAGGCTGCATGGGGGATTTTTTTAAATTTATTTTTTAGTTGTGTAGTGGTTAGGGCGCTGTATTCCGATACAGCCGATTTGCGTTGGATTCCCGCTCATGACTAACACCAGCTACGGTTATCTGAACCGGTTCTGGGAATACCCAAGGTCGACTCAACCGCAAATGAATATATGGTACGATGTGTAAACATCGCTATTAAAGAGACAAAGGCGGCCGGGAGTGGTACTGGCCACCCACCCCCTCGTGTGTCGTACCGGCCTTCATAGGTGCTCACGAACAGCACTTGTCCCAACAGTCTGTTAATGCTATACGGGGGGTCTTTGTCTTTGAGCTAATATATTTGTGTTTCTCTGTGCATGAGTTTATATATATGCGTGTAGTTCGTGTGTATCTATGTGCATGTTTGTGGGCTTTGCATGTGGAGACTGGTGGCACAGTTTGTGATTTCCAGCCACGGTTGACATCAGTGGTGAGTGGTATCTGAATCAGTTATGAGCCTCACTTAGGTCGACTCAACCTTAAACGAGTACCTGCTGCAATAAGTAAACATCATTACTGGGGAGAAAAAGGTCTCCCTCGTGTGCCGTGGCTGATTTATTAAGTGTTCGGGCACAGCAGTTGCTCCAACGATGAAAGGCTATCGTGCGTTCTTTACGTCTGTATTGTTGCACATGCTTGGTCGCCGTATGTGTGCGTGCGTGCACGCTGGTTTACATTCGGATTGTTCAATGGGAGCCGGCAAAACGGCAACTATTTTCTCATCAATTACCAGTTCCATAAGTTAGGATCGGCATTCGTTCTCAGTGGAATGTCAGGAGTTAATATATTGATCGGCAAACGCGAGTGTACAAACCGAACGACAGTGCAAGTCATCGTGTGTTATGGTATACATATGCCCACGTTTCTCAGTTGAAAGATAAAGTTGCAACCCTGCAGTTTCTCGCTCACGCCACTTCTGATTGGAAGGGCCTCCGCTCGAGGGAGCTCTGGAGTGGTCTTAGGGCTACTCTTCCAAGCTGAAGAGACGTCTTGGAAGAAGCAGTTTCCGAAACGACGCGCGACCTGCCGGTGGACTGAATGTGGTGTAACGTATGTATGTTGAACTTCTTTCACACCGTGCGTAGCCATCCGTACTAATCGGAGGTGCGAGGTAAGGACAACTAGCCATAAAAACGCAGTTCTAACTAAATGAGTTTTCAATCGAGATTGAAGCTACCCATAATGCTGGGTGGACAGAGGTAGGGCGATTAAACATGTAATCATATTTGTGCATGTGTGGTTTGTGCGTTTGCGTATATTTGTATGTACGTGTGTGGCCTTTTGTGTCTGTGATGTGTTATTAAACACGCGTGTTATTCGGCGATGCTCCTGCTGCCATTGGCAGTGGTGCATAAGCACGCATAAAAACTCAACACATTCATTAATAACACTCTCGCCTTAAGATATAAAAATATGATGTTGAACATAATTAATTAATGTGCTATCAAAGGACCATTGCCCCAAACGTCGCGTATTGTATGATTTCCTTGTATCCGTCGAGTATTTAAAGATATACGAACCTAGACTATTTCTTCAACTGCCGCGCCGGGAGTTGGAATCGAATTTGCGATACCTCTGGATTGCAAATCCTGTTTGCTGCTAACCAGTATTGTACACCATCGCAAATTGCTTCGGTTGTCAGTTTAAAGGGTTATAAATTTTATGTGTATTACGAGGCATTTGCATACGTACTTAAAACTGGTAACCGGTTTATTATAATACTATATCGGTAATGCAAAGCATTAGTTTATACGTGTGAGTTTGTGTGTGAGTGGATTTGTATGTGGGAGATCGTCGCTGCCCAGCGCTATTCATCGCTGAGGAGAGGCTTGAGGAGCCCGAATGTGGTTTCAGGTCGGGGTGGCCCTGCACAGAGATCACCTATTGTAGAGAATTTGAACAGGACCAATATCTCTGCATTATTGACCTGGTCAAGGTCTATGATACCATCAATAAGCCAGGGCTCTAGACTATTTTTCGTGCTTTCGAGGTCCCTGACCCTCTGCTCACAATCCTTAAGGACCGTCATGATGGTGGGCGGGCCCAGGTAAACGTGCGTGGCTGGAAGTCAGAGCCATTCCCGATTCACCTTGAGGTGCAACAGGGATATCCTCTAGCTCTTACATAATTTGAACATATTTTTCTATGACGTAGTTCGATATTTCCACGCCTATACCAGAGGAATTTCCATCCGGTACAGAGGATGATCGATGTCAATGTGCAGTCAAGGGATGGCTCCCTATCGGTAAACCATGTTAAGTATGCTAATGATCTGGTAATTTATGCTCACTCTTCGGAGTTAGAGAGTCTGCTGCTGAACCTGCAGCATGCCACTAAGAGATGGGGCATTATCATTAGCCATACCCAAAATTATCTGGCCTGTCACTCCATATGAAGCTTAGATTTTTATCGGCCACTGTCATGTCCTCCTTTCTCTATGCTTTGCGAAACGTGAACCCCTCTAAATGAACATCTGCGCAGGTTGAAATATTCAGACTGACCTGCCTATGATCCATCCTGGGTTTAACCAGGATGGATTGTGTGAGAAGGTCACAAATTCATATCAGTGAGCTCCTCCGCCAGGCAAGGCTGCGTTGGCTGGGTCATGTAGCCCGCATGTCCAGCCACCACATGCACAAGTAGCTTCTGTTTATACTCTTTGGTTATTTTGGTAAAGTCACGTAGGTATAAAAATAAATAATAAATCACGGCGTTTCGATCGCAACACAAGCAATCGTCATCAGGTGGAAAGATACAGCAGTAGAACTGCTGAACAGGAAAGGGATGCTACAACAAGAGGTTATATATAGGTTTGAGGTGGGTGTGACCCAAGGGTAAGTAGGCGGGGTCAGAGATGGAAAGGAGTCTCGTCGCCATACGCACGCACAGCAGCTGCGTTAAAGGGAGAGATTGGCGTATCAATATAAACGAGTTTAATGGGAAGATAGCATGTCTATGTCAGAGGACCGGGCATAGCAGCACCACCTCGTGGGCAACACAAGCTGAGGCGTTGCCTGCTGCATAGTGAGAGGCCAGCGTATCAATGCAAGAGAACCATCATAACGGTGGCCGTGCCATTGAGACATACAGCTTATTAAACAGAGAGAGCTACCGTTACATCGAGGCAAAAGGGAACAGCGGTGGCTATGTTAGTGAGACCTTAGTCTGTTAATGTAAATACATTTAACAAGGTAATGTAATTCAGTTGGATATAACTGCTAAACAACGGCAGGAAGGATGGAAACATCACAGCAAGTTATGACTTTACCTGGTTAATAACATCCTTACAATGACTGCTCAGTTTGTACCCATCTTCTCGATTGAAATTGTCTGTGTTAAAATATCTGGATGGCTTCATGGACAAATCTTTGATGGTAGCCCGAAAGTTTGCAGAGTACCTTGGTCTCAGAAAAAAGCAATGTCGTGTGAACCCACCGCTTTAAAATAGTAATCAGCCACGGCAGAGGTATTCGTTCTGCCGTGTTTTAAATCTGGCCTGTGTTCGCGAACACGGTTTGAGACATGTCGATTCGTTTCCCCGATGTAACTGCTACCGCAGACACAACTTAGTCTGTAGACACCAGGGTATTGCATGTCAGGAATCACATCCTTCACAGACGGGATCAAATCACGGATTTTGTGTACTGTATTGAATCGAACCTTGTGTTTGTTCAACATTTTGGAAATATTTTTAGTAACACCTGCTATGTATGGCAAGGTGATGGTTTTTATTGGGTCCTCAGATGGTTCTCTCCCCATGGTTGGGGATAAAACGTTGTGGATTGTGCAGTTTGAATATCCATTCATCTTGAGGGCTTGGTGTACGTGCTCCAGCTCACTGGCAAGGTGTTGCTGGTCAGAGATGCAACGTGCCCTATGGTGTAGTGTTTTGATGAGGGAGTTCTTCTGGGCTGGATGGTGGTGGGAATCAGGCTTTAGATAGGAATCCGTATGGGTGGCTTTCCTGTAGACAGAATGTCCCAACGAGCCATCAGGTCTATTCTCAATCAAAACATCCAGGAATGGTAGCTTGCCATCATTTTCTACTTCCATGGTGAATTTTATGGATGGATGTATGGAATTGATGTGGTTGAAAAATTGGTCCAGTGCTGTCTGGCCATGTGGCCAGATGATGAATGTGTCAGCTACAGTGAGGGGAAAAGTATTTGATCCCCTGCTGATTTTGTACGTTTGCCCACTGACAAAGAAATGATCAGTCTATAATTTTAATGGTAGGTTTATTTGAACAGTGAGACAGAATAACAACAAAAAAATCCAGAAAAACGCATCTCAAAAATGTTATAAATTGGTTTGCATTTTAATGAGGGAAATAAGTATTTGACCCCTCTGCAAAACATGGTGGCAAAAACCCTTGTTGGCAATCACAGAAGTCAGACGTTTCTTGTAGTTGACCACCAGGTTTGCACACATCTCAGGAGGGATTTTGTCCCACTCCTCTTTGCA